TGGGTTTTATATACTTTATCATGCCTAAAGGAAGAAGACAAGTAGAATCCTTATAGCTAAAAAGAGAGAGCTTAACATGATTTCAAATAACTAGTTTTATATAGTTTTTTACATCCATCACAATAAAGCTATTTAATCTTAAATTTATGGGTTTTATATACTTTATCATGCCTAAAGGAAGAAGACAAGTAGAATCCTTATAGCTAAAAAGAGAGAGCTTAACATGATTTCAAATAACTAGTTTTATATAGTTTTTTACATCCATCACAATAAAGCTATTTAATCTTAAATTTATGGGTTTTATATACTTTATCATGCCTAAAGGAAGAAGACAAGTAGAATCCTTATAGCTAAAAAGAGAGAGCTTAACATGATTTCAAATAACTAGTTTTATATAGTTTTTTACATCCATCACAATAAAGCTATTTAATCTTAAATTTATGGGTTTTATATACTTTATCATGCCTAAAGGAAGAAGACAAGTAGAATCCTTATAGCTAAAAAGAGAGAGCTTAACATGATTTCAAATAACTAGTTTTATATAGTTTTTTACATCCATCACAATAAAGCTATTTAATCTTAAATTTATGGGTTTTATATACTTTATCATGCCTAAAGGAAGAAGACAAGTAGAATCCTTATAGCTAAAAAGAGAGAGCTTAACATGATTTCAAATAACTAGTTTTATATAGTTTTTTACATCCATCACAATAAAGCTATTTAATCTTAAATTTATGGGTTTTATATACTTTATCATGCCTAAAGGAAGAAGACAAGTAGAATCCTTATAGCTAAAAAGAGAGAGCTTAACATGATTTCAAATAACTAGTTTTATATAGTTTTTTACATCCATCACAATAAAGCTATTTAATCTTAAATTTATGGGTTTTATATACTTTATCATGCCTAAAGGAAGAAGACAAGTAGAATCCTTATAGCTAAAAAGAGAGAGCTTAACATGATTTCAAATAACTAGTTTTATATAGTTTTTTACATCCATCACAATAAAGCTATTTAATCTTAAATTTATGGGTTTTATATACTTTATCATGCCTAAAGGAAGAAGACAAGTAGAATCCTTATAGCTAAAAAGAGAGAGCTTAACATGATTTCAAATAACTAGTTTTATATAGTTTTTTACATCCATCACAATAAAGCTATTTAATCTTAAATTTATGGGTTTTATATACTTTATCATGCCTAAAGGAAGAAGACAAGTAGAATCCTTATAGCTAAAAAGAGAGAGCTTAACATGATTTCAAATAACTAGTTTTATATAGTTTTTTACATCCATCACAATAAAGCTATTTAATCTTAAATTTATGGGTTTTATATACTTTATCATGCCTAAAGGAAGAAGACAAGTAGAATCCTTATAGCTAAAAAGAGAGAGCTTAACATGATTTCAAATAACTAGTTTTATATAGTTTTTTACATCCATCACAATAAAGCTATTTAATCTTAAATTTATGGGTTTTATATACTTTATCATGCCTAAAGGAAGAAGACAAGTAGAATCCTTATAGCTAAAAAGAGAGAGCTTAACATGATTTCAAATAACTAGTTTTATATAGTTTTTTACATCCATCACAATAAAGCTATTTAATCTTAAATTTATGGGTTTTATATACTTTATCATGCCTAAAGGAAGAAGACAAGTAGAATCCTTATAGCTAAAAAGAGAGAGCTTAACATGATTTCAAATAACTAGTTTTATATAGTTTTTTACATCCATCACAATAAAGCTATTTAATCTTAAATTTATGGGTTTTATATACTTTATCATGCCTAAAGGAAGAAGACAAGTAGAATCCTTATAGCTAAAAAGAGAGAGCTTAACATGATTTCAAATAACTAGTTTTATATAGTTTTTTACATCCATCACAATAAAGCTATTTAATCTTAAATTTATGGGTTTTATATACTTTATCATGCCTAAAGGAAGAAGACAAGTAGAATCCTTATAGCTAAAAAGAGAGAGCTTAACATGATTTCAAATAACTAGTTTTATATAGTTTTTTACATCCATCACAATAAAGCTATTTAATCTTAAATTTATGGGTTTTATATACTTTATCATGCCTAAAGGAAGAAGACAAGTAGAATCCTTATAGCTAAAAAGAGAGAGCTTAACATGATTTCAAATAACTAGTTTTATATAGTTTTTTACATCCATCACAATAAAGCTATTTAATCTTAAATTTATGGGTTTTATATACTTTATCATGCCTAAAGGAAGAAGACAAGTAGAATCCTTATAGCTAAAAAGAGAGAGCTTAACATGATTTCAAATAACTAGTTTTATATAGTTTTTTACATCCATCACAATAAAGCTATTTAATCTTAAATTTATGGGTTTTATATACTTTATCATGCCTAAAGGAAGAAGACAAGTAGAATCCTTATAGCTAAAAAGAGAGAGCTTAACATGATTTCAAATAACTAGTTTTATATAGTTTTTTACATCCATCACAATAAAGCTATTTAATCTTAAATTTATGGGTTTTATATACTTTATCATGCCTAAAGGAAGAAGACAAGTAGAATCCTTATAGCTAAAAAGAGAGAGCTTAACATGATTTCAAATAACTAGTTTTATATAGTTTTTTACATCCATCACAATAAAGCTATTTAATCTTAAATTTATGGGTTTTATATACTTTATCATGCCTAAAGGAAGAAGACAAGTAGAATCCTTATAGCTAAAAAGAGAGAGCTTAACATGATTTCAAATAACTAGTTTTATATAGTTTTTTACATCCATCACAATAAAGCTATTTAATCTTAAATTTATGGGTTTTATATACTTTATCATGCCTAAAGGAAGAAGACAAGTAGAATCCTTATAGCTAAAAAGAGAGAGCTTAACATGATTTCAAATAACTAGTTTTATATAGTTTTTTACATCCATCACAATAAAGCTATTTAATCTTAAATTTATGGGTTTTATATACTTTATCATGCCTAAAGGAAGAAGACAAGTAGAATCCTTATAGCTAAAAAGAGAGAGCTTAACATGATTTCAAATAACTAGTTTTATATAGTTTTTTACATCCATCACAATAAAGCTATTTAATCTTAAATTTATGGGTTTTATATACTTTATCATGCCTAAAGGAAGAAGACAAGTAGAATCCTTATAGCTAAAAAGAGAGAGCTTAACATGATTTCAAATAACTAGTTTTATATAGTTTTTTACATCCATCACAATAAAGCTATTTAATCTTAAATTTATGGGTTTTATATACTTTATCATGCCTAAAGGAAGAAGACAAGTAGAATCCTTATAGCTAAAAAGAGAGAGCTTAACATGATTTCAAATAACTAGTTTTATATAGTTTTTTACATCCATCACAATAAAGCTATTTAATCTTAAATTTATGGGTTTTATATACTTTATCATGCCTAAAGGAAGAAGACAAGTAGAATCCTTATAGCTAAAAAGAGAGAGCTTAACATGATTTCAAATAACTAGTTTTATATAGTTTTTTACATCCATCACAATAAAGCTATTTAATCTTAAATTTATGGGTTTTATATACTTTATCATGCCTAAAGGAAGAAGACAAGTAGAATCCTTATAGCTAAAAAGAGAGAGCTTAACATGATTTCAAATAACTAGTTTTATATAGTTTTTTACATCCATCACAATAAAGCTATTTAATCTTAAATTTATGGGTTTTATATACTTTATCATGCCTAAAGGAAGAAGACAAGTAGAATCCTTATAGCTAAAAAGAGAGAGCTTAACATGATTTCAAATAACTAGTTTTATATAGTTTTTTACATCCATCACAATAAAGCTATTTAATCTTAAATTTATGGGTTTTATATACTTTATCATGCCTAAAGGAAGAAGACAAGTAGAATCCTTATAGCTAAAAAGAGAGAGCTTAACATGATTTCAAATAACTAGTTTTATATAGTTTTTTACATCCATCACAATAAAGCTATTTAATCTTAAATTTATGGGTTTTATATACTTTATCATGCCTAAAGGAAGAAGACAAGTAGAATCCTTATAGCTAAAAAGAGAGAGCTTAACATGATTTCAAATAACTAGTTTTATATAGTTTTTTACATCCATCACAATAAAGCTATTTAATCTTAAATTTATGGGTTTTATATACTTTATCATGCCTAAAGGAAGAAGACAAGTAGAATCCTTATAGCTAAAAAGAGAGAGCTTAACATGATTTCAAATAACTAGTTTTATATAGTTTTTTACATCCATCACAATAAAGCTATTTAATCTTAAATTTATGGGTTTTATATACTTTATCATGCCTAAAGGAAGAAGACAAGTAGAATCCTTATAGCTAAAAAGAGAGAGCTTAACATGATTTCAAATAACTAGTTTTATATAGTTTTTTACATCCATCACAATAAAGCTATTTAATCTTAAATTTATGGGTTTTATATACTTTATCATGCCTAAAGGAAGAAGACAAGTAGAATCCTTATAGCTAAAAAGAGAGAGCTTAACATGATTTCAAATAACTAGTTTTATATAGTTTTTTACATCCATCACAATAAAGCTATTTAATCTTAAATTTATGGGTTTTATATACTTTATCATGCCTAAAGGAAGAAGACAAGTAGAATCCTTATAGCTAAAAAGAGAGAGCTTAACATGATTTCAAATAACTAGTTTTATATAGTTTTTTAAATCCATCATCATAAAGCTATTTAACTCCATCTTAAAATTCATGAGTAAACTATCATGCCTAAATTTAAGTATTATTAAGCTCAAATCCCTTGATTTGAAATCCACTTCTGTCCAAATGGACCCAATAACAACTACATCCATCCCAGATTAATAAGAAAGCAAATTTTAAAAAAATGGAATAATAAATGATGTTAGTATGTATATATCTCCAACAAGACAAACTACATAAGTAAACCCCACTATCATTCAGGTAAATTTAAACTTTGTTAAACTATTGCGCACCAACATTAGAAATGATTCCATGATTGAAAAACTCCAAGAAAAAACAGAAGGCTACTTACCTAAACATACTCCTAATCATGCTTATTGCTCTTCCACCTTCATCATCATCATCATCCACATCATCATCGTCGTATGGTCTGACAGGCTTCTTCTTTGGGTGGTCCTCTCTCAACGGAGGGCAAGATGGAATTTTCGCAGGTTGCTTGTTTATCTGTCAGTAAGTCAAGCAAGGACAAATTTTATTGTAAAAAATGTTATCAACTTTCCCTGGATATAAGGACATGTCAACCAGAAAATGGCTGCAGGTATCCATTATTCATGCAAGGACAGGAGGGAAAAAAGTGACAAATTGAGATATCTCGGTAATAAAATATACAGGAACGGTTGTACATGCACAAGTAAATGAGATTAGACCTGTGGTTTAGAGGATGGAACTGGCTGTTTTGGCATCATCTTTCCTCTGCTAGATCCCTGAACTTCCTTTTTCTGGTCCAAGGATTGCTTTGGAACAGAAGCTTGCTTTGGAGCAGATGAGTGCAACTTCGAAGAAGGGGGCCTGTGCACACTAGGTTTCTGGTCCAAAGACTGCCGTTGTGGTGCAGCAACCCTCCTCTCTGTGGTGGCTGCTGGCATCTTAGAAGGCAAGCCTTTTGGCCCTAGAGGCCGACCTGGCCCGCTTCCATTATTGTTTCCAAGCTGTTTTCTAGAGTCAACCGATGTTGGAATGGGCTTACCGGCAGAAATTAACTTGCGCGGCCCAGTTTTAGGATGCGTTTGGCTACCTGTTGACATAGGTTTCCTCTCCTCGCGACTATTGGGAACTTGTCTACCAGTATTAGTTGACCACTGTCTGCTCTTTGGTGGCACTTGAGCTGATCTTGCCTCTTCAACATCATAACAAAAACACAAAAAACAAAAAAAGAAAGTTAAAAGTTAAAAAGTTTTCTCAATAAATTAGTATGTTTTGAGCTTTTAGATCAACAATCAGATATGGTGTAGTAAAGCAGCAACACACCAGAATTTGGAACAGAGACATTTCGAATTGGAGGATCTTTTGTGGGAGCTGGAAGCTCTGCATCATCAGATAATAGAAAAGAATAATCTCTTGTATCCTTAAGTTTCTGGACTTTCGTTTTTAACTGCACAAATAAGTAGGAAAAAAAACCATGAAATTAATAAAATTAGAAACTATATTGAAGTTATAGGAAAGAATCGACAAATGATTTCTTTTACTAACCTGATTTACAACTTTAGGATGGTGGTTACGAGCTTGAGTTTTTGATCCAGCAGTGGTTGAAGCAAGGCTCTTGCTTTTCTACATGGACAAGTGGGGTCATCAATTGATTAGACTACATCTCAAAATGAAGTTAAAAGCGATGAAAAATTATCTCTTTAGCACATCTGCATCCTATATGTCTTCCAAACCCCACAAACTATGCAGGTTCAGGGAATATGGGGGAGGATCCATTGGCTGGCCCAAATAACAGACAGACTAGGAATCAGCCCAATCCCCGGGAATATTAGATTACAAGATCATGTGCCAACCATATTTTGTTAAAACAAGGAAGCAAAACTAATTATCCAACATTGCAACTGCAAGGCGAGGTATAAACCTCAATACTCAAAAGGTTAAGAAACACAACTCCCATAACAAAAAATTATAAACCTTGCAATCCCAAGAAGAACCCCCTAGATGAAAAAATGAGTACTCCTTGACAGTCGACACTAAATTGATGAAGTCCATAGAAATTTCTATCCTCTGATTGCCAAAATCCTTCGAGAGACAATTTTTAATGGACAATAGCACCTCAATAATCACCATTTAATTCAAATAAATGCGATGAATATAAAAATATATGAAGCCAACAATATAAATAAAATAATAAAAAGACAGCAAAGAAGCCAACTGATAAAAACTCTACCAATGCAACGTATCAGGTGTGCCATCAAGGATCACACATTTTTTTAAGACAAAAAACTTAGAATTTAACCTCTAAATTGAGTATCGAGGTGCTTTCCTCCCACCATAACTTTAGGCCAATCCTCACAATTTCTAAAATTAACGATCTACTGATTATCATTAGGATTGATGATATAACAATGAGGGATGAATTCAAAGCACATAAGGCTAAGATCATATTTGCAGCATGCAGGAATGTACAACCATAACAAAACCACAGACTTACTATGGTACCCACATCATGATTGGATTTTGACACTTTGGGTGCCAAATGGTGGTTTTCCAATAATGACTTGCTTTCTTGAATTACTCTTTGAGCAATAACTGGTTGTGAAGGCCCAAAGAAGGATCCATAACTGCAAAACATGGAAAAATGGATATAATGAATGAGATTCTATACCATGTACATCTAAAATTCAAATTGAAGACTTTATACAAAAGCTTTAGTATATTAAGTAATTAATATGCAATTTAAACATATATCATTATATCCTAGTAAATAAATGAATAACAGACTAATGAAATTGCAGATTGTTCTCACTTATCATATGGCAATTTCTTCTTTTTCTCTTGGGAATTTGCATGGCCAGAACCAGATTCCTTTTTAATCTGCTTTCTGATAGCTTCTTTTAATCTCTGCCTCAATTCAAGGTATTCCAGTTCCTCCTCCGTGGTTTGTGGAGCTTCTTCTTCTTCATATTCCCCTTCACCAATCCCATCCTCTTATTGCTCTTCACCATCCTCTTCATACTCATCCAAATCTTCATAGTCCTACACAAAAATAACTTATTAGAAAGCAATGTAAAAATACACAAAATTTCATACATATAATGAGGGAGAAGAGTGAAATCAACATGAACTTCAAAATTGCTTACATCTCTATCATATCCCTGCATAGCCGTTTCGAATCCCAGATGAGATTGTTTGGATATAAGCACCTACAACAACCCAAAGCCTGAAAGCCTGATTACAAATATATTTAAAGACCCAAATGCAAGCAATTTTATCATAACTTCACAACATTACAAATACATAAATGAGCATAAAAAGGAGAAAAATCAATAAACAAATTCTTTGGGCTTCTAACTTAAAGATTGAACAAGTAATTACATTCAATACAAGCATCACCTATCAGAGGGTAAATATTTACACGAGATAAATTATAAGTCATTTGCTTCTCCAACAAAACTCTGATATTTTAGTAGTATGAAAAAAAAAATCCAGGTTTGATCAAATCAACATTTCCTAGTATAGAAAAAATCCACATTTAATTCAATCCTCTTCTTCACTTTCTAAAAATTTCAAGGCATGTGCTTTACCAACAAATCTCTGGTATTTTTTTCTAAAATGAAAAAAAAAAATCCAGATTTAATAGAATCTATACTTTATAAAATTAAAAAATAAAATTCAAATCAAATGTTCAAACAATCAATCAACGTCCAATATACAACAAAATCTTTCCATGAAACACACAAAGGGTAAACCCTAATTTTCTGAAATTAGAGGACACCAATTGAAGCCCTGATTGAATCGTAATGTATAAGCATGAACAAAATCGAAAAACACCATCCACATACAATCACACCTCAAATATTCAGAATTCAATCAAATCAATGTTTCAGAAATTTGATAAACTCCAAAAAAGGAAACTACCAAGTTATTATCTTTTGATGAAAAGAATGAGAGAGACCTCAACTTTCTCCTTGGAGGGTAACAATCACATTCCCAATTGAACCATAGACATAAAACGAAAAATCACATAAATCTTTCCATGAAACGAAAAAAAAAAAAGAGGCAAACCCTAATTTTCTGAAATCGGGGGATACCAATCGAATCCCCAATTGAATCATAGCGTATAAGCATGAACAAACTTGAAAAACATCATCCACATACAATCACCTCAAATATTCAGAAACTAATTAAATATAATAGTTTGTAGAATTGATAAACACCAAAAACGAAACAACCAAGTTTTCATCTTTCAACGAAACGAACAAAGGAAAAGCCCTAAATTTCTCATTGGAGAGCAACAATCAAATCTCAATTGAACCATAAACCGAAATCAAAAAATCACCGAGATCCTGGCATGAAACGCAAAAAAGGGAAAACCCTAATCTTCTGAAATTAGAGAATACCAATCGAATCCCCGATTGAATCGTAGCATGAACAAACTCGAAAAACACCAATCACCTCAAATATTCAGAATTCAATCGAATCAATGGTTCAGAAAATTGATAAAAACCAAAACAAAAAAGAGAGAAACCAACAAGTTGTTATCTTTCAATGCAAAGAACAAAAAAAGCCCCAATTTTCTCATCGAAATTTAACAATCATATTCCCAATTGAACCAAAACTCGAAAAATAAAACAAAAAACACAAAAAATAAAAATAAAAATAAAAATAAAAATAAAAATAAAAAACAAAAACAAAAAAAACACCATTTTGAAAAAAATCGTGGTGAAATACCTGATTTGATGTCGAGAATCGTACAAATCATATAAAAATCGAGCGATTCTTCAAGACTGAACGTCGAAATCGAAGTTTGACATCAAGAGAGAGAGCGAAGAGAATCCAGATCTGCAGAGGCGATAGCGTATGGTGGAGGATTTGGGGATCGTGAGAGAGAGAGAGAGCGATAAGGAAGAAGATAAAAAGGCCAAGGAAGGGAAGGACCCAGAGACGAAACGGGTAGATGCTAACGTGCGCGGAGAGCGTAGTAGATAGTAGAAGAAGGAACCCACTTCGGATTGGGTCGAACTCGCGACCTCCTCAAATCCAAATCCAAATCCAAATCCAAATCCAAATCCAAATCCAAATCCAAATCCAAATCCAAATCCAAATCCAAATCCAAATCCAAATCCAAATCCAAATCCAAATCCAAATCCAAATCCAAATCCAAATCCAAATCCAAATCCAAATCCAAATCCAAATCCAAATCCAAATCCAAATCCAAATCCAAATCCAAATCCAAATCCATTCGAAACATTAATCTGATGTCTGAAATCTAATGTTCGAAACATTAATCTGATGTTTGAAACATTGTAATGGGACCTTTCAGTCTATAAGAAAACTTTTAGGACTAAACAGTGTATAAGTTATTAAGTTGGGATTTATTGGTGCATCCTCTTCAAGACCGAACGCCGAAATCGAAGTTTGACATCAAGAGAGAGAGCGAAGAGAATCCAGATCTGCAGAGGCGATAGCGTATGGTGGTGGATTTGGGGATCGTGAGAGAGAGAGAGTGATGAGGAAGAAGATAAAAAGGCCAAGGAAGGGAAGGACCCAGAGACGAAACGGGTAGATGCTAACGTGCGCAGAGAGCGTAGTAGATAGTAGAAGGAACCCACTTCGGATTTGGATTTGGATTTGGATTTGGATTTGGATTTGGATTTGAGGAGGTCGCGAGTTCGACCCAATCCGAAGTGGGTTCCTTCTTCTACTATCTACTACGCTCTCCAAGGGTTGATTTCAACAAAAATTGAATTAGCAAAATAGTAGAAGAATAGAAGAAGATAAGAGAAGAAGAAAATAGAAGAGAAGAAAATACCTTAGTCGCCGTTGTTTCTCGCCGATCGCTGCCGCTGGTCACTCTCAGCTGGTCGAACGGGTGCCGGGCGATCTAGAATATGCAGAAGGCTAGGGTTAGCGCTTGAAGAGAGAGAGAGAGAGAGAGAGACAATAATACATATAGGTCACACCTAAAAATTTAAAACCATCCCACTTTTAATTCAATATGTGAAAAAAAAAAAAATGTGTGAAGTAACTTTTTTATTTTTTATTTATTTATTTCAGCAGCCTACACCCCCCAGCCAACAAAGAAACAATTCATTTTTTATTTTATTTTTGAGATTCCAAACATCTCTCAATCCTCTCTCCCTCTCTCTCTCTCTCTCTTCAAGCGCTAACCCTAGCCTTCTGCATATTCTAGATCGCCCGGCACCCGTTCGACCAGCTGAGAGTGACCAGCGGCAGCGATCGGCGAGCGGCGGCAACGGCAGCAATCGGCGAGCAACAGCGGCGACTGAGGTATTTTCTTCTCTTCTATTTTCTTCTTCTCTTATCTTCTTCTATTCTTCTACTATTTTGCTAATTCAATTTTTGTTGAAATCAACCCTTGATTTTCGATTTTTGTTGAAACTAGCCCTTAATTTTTGTTGAAATCAACCCTTGATTTTTGCTCTATATATCTCTTTCTCTCTCTCTGCCCCCTCTCCCCCAATTTCAAACCCTAACTATAATTTTCGATCTCTCAGATCTCAGCCCCTTCTCTGTTCTATATCACAAAAGTCATTTTGATTTCATTTCGCTTATTTTGAAGTGTTTCATATGTTAAAAATGCTAAATGTTCGATGCGTTTATTTACATGTTTGTTTATCTGCATTTTGTTAATCTTGACCTCTCTTTCTCTCTCGCTCACTCATCATATTATTTTCCTTGTGGCCTTCACTATGTGTATTTAATTCAATTCAAAATATGAAACCAGGTGCCATAGTTATTCTCTTATGTTTTGAATGACTTACAATTGAAATTTGCACTAATTATGGCCCAGCAATTTAGTAAATTAAAGACAATCTTGGAAGCATAAAGATTTATGGACTGTGAGTATCTAAAGGAACAAAAAAGTCATGGTACAAAAAGTTTACTCTTGGACTACCCTTAAATTTGAAATTGAAGTTTTATGGCTTTCAGTACATACCCAAGCATATAATTGTTGGAAAACTATATAAATTTGATAGAGCCCCCTTTTATTTGAATGTTCTGTTTCCTAATGATGGCATTGCAATTTAGATATAATTAAGAGTGCACAGGTCGATAAGTTGGCCTCTAGACAAGCCATTTTACACTTCAACATTTGTAAAACAAATTTTTTTTTTTGGTTGAGATTTTACAGTTAAAGAATGGATGGAGGGTTGGTTATTCTTTAAGTGGTGCATGTATAATTCCTGGAGTGTGTGCAGTGTGATGGTCTTTTTCTTTGCCTAAATGCATTGTACTCACTGTCCTTCTGGAGGATATTTTATTATGTAATGTTGTTATTAATTGTTAAAGTGATAAAGAGCATATAATACACACACACACACACACACACACTCATATATATATATATATATATATTATCAACAACCTACATTCCTGAAAGATGAGAATCCATCACCCGAACAAACCTCCCTTCTCTGTTCTGACATTTCAAAAAAAGATTCTCCCTTTCAGTGCCTTCTTCCTCAACTTACTGCTCAATCGCTTAGCTTCAAAACAAGTAAAAGAGAGAGATGGTAGAAAGCCTCCCCTCACTTTCCACCACCACACAACAATTCCCATCACCTGCATCAACAAACTCAGAAGTCTTTCAGCCCTGTTGAAGGAATTTCTTCATCCCCCTTTTAATACCCTTTGATTTTTGTTTAATGTATTTGCATTGGTTTTTTTGTCTCAATGCACCATATTCATTGCTCATAAAAGGAAAGTTCTACATTTAGTCTGTTATTTTATGTGGATTGTTATTTTATTTATTTTATCCACGAAATTCTTCTTCATTGTATTTAGATTCAGATTTTTTTATTTAGACATGATTGTTCCCACCAAAAAAAAAAAAATGCATAATGTTTAATTATTTTTTTCAAAAAGCAAATTATCAATATAAATTCCGAGTTGCAATAAATTGACTTGAGCGATCAAAGTCACTAAGGATCAGGAAGCCTAATGTAATATGTCAATCCTGGTGTCTGGACTAGCCAAAAAATTTCAATATGGTGATGAATCAGATGATTGTCTTTGTTGCATCAATCTTTTGGCAGTTTGATCATTCTAAATTTCTTAGTGCAGGTTACTACTCCATTGCTTTTCAAGCTAATACCTGCTGTGGTACATCTTGGTGTCCTACTACGCTGGTTCTCCCCTGACAGTCCGAGTGAGGTAATCATCTATGTTGATATATATATACCTCCACTTTTAGTATTTGTCTGTTGCCGGTGAGAAGGGTTTTGATTCTATGTAGATTTGCCATAATCCTTGCTCTCTTTATTGAAATTGAAATGCTTCTTGAACATGTCCTTGACCACCAGATTGGATTCAAAGGAGAAAATCTCAACCAAAAATGGATGGAGGGTTGGAAAAAGTTACCTAGAAAAAAGGATTCTAGTTTTTCTCTTTGAGCAATTGGTTCCATACCTTAAGTTTACTTGTGTACTATTGCAAACTAACGCAATTGTTGTTTGAAGGGAAAAAACATTAGAGGAAAAGGTATATCCCTTTATCTCCTACTCACTTTGGGGCAGGAAGAAAATAGTGAGCAGGATGGAAACTCTCCCCCTCTTTTATTTTCCTGTTCTCTTTTGCTGCATATAATGGGATTGTTTAAATTGGAATCTCTACTATCCAGTCATGTTTTCGTATGAAATTGCAAATATCAGATGGGAGATTTGAGTTATTTGGTAGGGAGTTTTTTTTTTTTTTTTTTTCTTACTTATATTTATTTGTGTATATATATACATTTTGGTTTTGGAGGTTGATGAATTCCTAATATTCTTTTGTTAGTTCTATAGGAGATTTGAGTTATTTGGTAGGGAGTTTTTTTCTTCAATTGTGGTTTTTTCCACGTAAAAAATCGTTTGTGTCAATTTATTGTTTATTCTCAAAAACAAACAAACTAAAATCACTCTCGTAAGTGTTTGATGATTTTAGGTTGAGTGTTTTGATTTATTGGGATTTGGAATAAGTTAATCTTGATCTAATCACAAATCACGTAGGATTTTCACATACTTCTGTTCTGTAACCAACCCATAGTCCATACAGTTGCATCTGTTAATAACCATGTCTATGAGAACCAGTTTGCATCTGTAATATCAGAACCAGTTTACATCTGTTATTAACAATGTCTTCAATCTGTTTGCATCTGTAACATCAGAACCAGTTTGCATGGAACAATGTCTTCAATCTGTTTGCATCTGTTATGTAACCAAAGCAGAACCATGCAGAGTCAGAAGCATAACAGTTTGCATCTGCATCTGTTATGTAACCAATCCATAGTCCATACAATTACATCTGTTAATAACCATGTTTGCATCTGTTAACATCAGAACCAGTTTGCATCTGTAACAATGTCTTCAAGTTGTTCCTATGGGACATATTATTAGAACCAACTTCCATTAGCACCATTAGCATCAACTTCCATTAGCCTTCACACTCTGTCCATTAGCACCAACTTACATTAGAACAACTTCCATTAGCCTTCACACTCTGTCTCTCTCCTCATGTATGCAGATTTAAAAAATGGTTTCTTCTTCTAACATTAGCAACATAAGATTACTGCCGAGGATGTGCAATTGTGGAAGAACAGCTGCCATACATATTGTAAGAACCAACGAGAATGGAAATGAAGGGCGTTTGTTCTTTGTTTGCCCATCGAAATATGTAAGTTGGTAATTCTAGCTATTTTCTTCCTTTATTAGTCACATTAATATTTGTCTTATTGAACTAATGTATTCACATGCATTGCAGAGTAACACTCTCACTCACCATTGCAATTACTTCAAGTTCGTGTTTGAAGATGATGAAAACGTTACGTCCAGAATCCGTTCCAACAGTACAGCTTCTGCTGGTATAACAATAGAAGACTTGAACGATGTAAGGATGAGGCTTCATTACATGGAAAATGACTATGGTCAAAGGCTGCAAATGATGGAAAATAATATAAAAAAGATGGTGTACTTCATTGTATTTTGTATCATTTTGTACTTTATGATGTAACTTTTCGACTTTATTGTATTTTTGGGAAACTTAATGGAAGTTTGTATCATTTTGGGTTTTATGTACTCCAACTTGTTATCTATTATCTGTTATGGAATGAATTTTGGGAAACATTCAACTTCTTATCTGTTATGGAATGAATGATGGAATTTTGGAATGAATGATGGAATGAGTATGCCAATATCATTTTGGAATGTTGGAATGAATGATGGAATGTTATGTTATGTAACTATAATATATGAGGTCAGCATGAATGCTTCAGCTGTGTGCAGAACCATGTGTCCATAATAACACAACTAGTTACACTCACCTGTGTGCAGAACCATGTGTGCAGAACCATGTGCAGAACTAGTTACACCCAGCTTCATACCCATAATAACACAACAAAGTTTATATCAACAAAACCATGTGTCCATAATAACACAAAACCATGTGTCCAGCAAAATGATGTGTGCAGCAAAGACTAGCAAAACCAGATCCATTGTAAATGACCAGTTTCCATCAGAACCAGCATTGCAGTTAAATAAGCAGAACATGAGAACCAGCAGAACATGAACACCACAACCAGCATTGCAGATCCATTGTAAATGAACATGAACATTCAGAACCATTTTCAGAACATGCAGATCAATTTCAGAACATGCAGATCCATTTCAGAACATCACAACCAGTTTCACAACATGCAGATCCATTTCAGAACCAGTTTCAGAAGCATACCAGTTTCAACATCAGAACCAGTGTTCAACACAGCATGACTTATCTCTTATGTTCAATACAGCATGGTCAATACCAGTTTCCTGAATCTGAACATGAACATCAAGCAACCAACATGGACACCAATTTAAATGAACATGAACATGAACATGAACATTAACCAACCAACACAAGGGTCCTGAACATGAACATCAACCAACATCAACCAAGCTAAATGAACATTAACAATAACCAGTTCACTTGGGTTTAACATATAAATTAAAATCAACTGTAAATGGACATCAACCAGTACAACTTTAACATCTAAATTAATACATTGGTCCTTAAAAATTGACACATTGGTCCATGTAATTTAACACATTGGTCCATATAATTTAACATTTCAACACACATTCCTCCACATCACTTTCTAGCAGCAATTTGCTTCACAATTTCAGAGGCCATGACTTCACTCTGCAGCCCAATTTCAGCATTAGTTTGGTTCTGTTTATGGTTGTCCATAGCCTAAAAAAAAAAAAGATAGAATTTTTAAGCAACTATAGATACATGATATCACAGAATTTTCAGCAACTAAAAACTAAAAATACATCAAGGACGAACCTCACTACACATTGGAGTAGTTGATTCTTGAGAATATCGAAACCCAATGTCATATCCACATGAACCTTGTAGTAGTGACTGGAATGTTGGTTGAGCAGAATGTTGTTGAGCCATTGAAGTTGGCAAATAATTTGGCACAACATACATCTCCCACAAATTGTTCGCCTACAACAATGTCATATATGCTTTCAGTCAAGGTTTGAGTCACATATTATATCCACACAAAAAATACAATGTTAAAGTAAGACTTACATGATATGTGGGATACATCAATAGCGGAGGAATATAATTACCAACCATGGGCAAAGATCGAGGAAGATGATGAAGGGGAGGAAGAGGTTGAAGCGGAGGAACATGTCGACGAACATATATATCTCCTCCAATAGATAATGGAGAAGGTGCAACCGTTGAACTTGCAATAAATTGTGATGACGCATGGGATTTTTTTTTGGAGTTCGCTACCAACGCCGCTTCGAATCCACCTTTGACCCTCCTTTTGCCCTTACTAGTTGCCACCTTTTTCTTCAATCCTTTTGGTTGCACAACATGATTCACATCTTCGCAATCTACTTCAAAGCTTTAGGTGTCATCATCATTACCTACTTCATTTCCAACACCAAAATGAGCACTTAACTTGCCTTCAACATCGGCACCTAATGTCGCAAGGTGTGCAATACAAAAATCATAAGTTTCTTCAGTTTCAGCAGCTCTACTTGCTACTGCTCTAAATGCGGTCATCAATGTCTTATACCGCGAGACTTGTTGGAATTTCACATCTACTTCAATGTCATTTTCCTTAATGTGTTGCACAGTTTCGACTCTTGTTTGTTTGATTCACCTCTTTAGAATGTATTGTGGAGGAACCTCTTTCATCTTCAATATATCTCTAATGACCTTCAATGAGTGACAACACAAGATTCCTTCCCTTTAAAACTTTGTACAATTACAACCCAAAGAGCCATCCCTCTCCATTTTCACTTTCCTTGCATGTTTGTTTCCAACATCAACAACTGTGTAAATGGTACTAGCCTCGCCATATTCAATTGCTTCTATGTCCGATTCAATGGATTGAAAGTACTCATTTTGAAATTCCTCCAAGATCTTTTTTGTGTAGACGTTACCTATTTGAATTAACATTCTTATTGTTACTTTGACCTTTAGCAACCTTTGGCACAAAGTATATCCTGCTTCTAACTCCTTGTATCGCTTCTCGTAAAGTACCTTTTCGAAATGCATGAAGAATTCATTTAAGTTGAAATCAAAACGAATGTAATCCTTCAAAAAAGCATTAAAAGATTCACTAAGTTGTGTGGTACTCATTCCCGCAGCCCATGTTGATCTAGCATAAGGCCATTCCCATTTTTTTTTCACCGCAAAAGTCAATTTCA